CAAGCAAGGCGTTGGATATATATGGATTCGCTGTTGTGGGATGCAAGTTATAGAAAACAAAGGAGTCTGGGTTGCAGTACCTATTTACCAATGTATAATCCGCGCCTCCTTTGCAGTTGGTCTTGTCTATTTTATCCGTCTTACCAGTGCCTCCCCAGACAGTTGCTTTTGGAAATGATAAACCCTCTTTTTAAAAAAATATGTACGGGATACTTGTTGTCGAGAATACTCGTTTCATTCTCGGTGACGCTTATGGTTATTGTCGGGCGGCGTCATTATTTGCTTTATATCCCTTTCCGTTATCCAATAATGGTTGCAGTCAAACAGAGAGGTTTTCGAAAGAGAAAGACTGTATTTCATAAACGCGAAAGATAATACCACGACCTCAAATTATGAAAATTTCTTTCGATCCGTCAGAATATATTATGACAACGAGGAGTAGGGACTCGAAGATCCATAGGACAGACTATGTGGAACTGCTTTTTATTTTTAACCGATAGACTAAGAGGAGAATGCCTTACTCCAAGCGAGATCTCTACCAAAAACCTGTGCTGGTGAGACGACAAACGGCCCCAAGTTCCGGATATCATTGATCACGGCAGTTTCACTAACAAGGAGTCAGAGACCTTTTCACGCCGACTTTCGAACATAGGCGACAGGCCCGGTGTAAGTATGACGTCCCCGGCCAAGGTAATAATACCCCATGCTGAAGATGACCACGAAGCCCCACACAAGGATGCTCCAGTTCATGAGCTCCGGGGTTGGGGATGGGACAGGCGGGAAGAACGTCTATCGGCAGCAAGGGTAAGGTAGCGAGTTAGCAACTTTGTTTCTTATTAGGAGTTTTGGAATGGGGAACTGGCCCGGGGGTTTTTGAAACGACTTCTCACTTACCAAGACAAAGACGAAGATCAAGAACAAAGCACTGAATATGTTTAGTGGTAGACCAAGACGGCCAAGCCGGAAACTCGCGGGTAAGAGAGGCTCGTTGCGTAGGCGTTTCAAGGCTATGCAGGACACGGAGATGATGTAGGATGAGAGGAGAGCGCCGACGCCGAGACTGGTGAGGATGTTGAATGCCTGGATGGGTTATTGTGTCAGAATAGCCCCAAGACGGAAGATGAGGGGGTTGAGATGGAAAAGACTCACAATCGTGCTCCCAATATTGATGAGCGACAGCAACACAGCCATCACATACGAAAAGATGAGTGCATTGACGGGGAGATCAAGGCGCGGATGGACGGCCGAGAGCCAGTCTGAGTAGGGCACGCCCTTGTCGCGCGCAAAGGCCCACAGCTGGCGGGAGCTCGTAGCGATGTTGTTGGTGTTGCCGACCAGAGACATGATGATCAAAATGCTGGCCATGGCGCTCGCCCCAGACTTGCTCTGGACTACATTATAAAACACGTGGACGAAGGGCTGGCCTGTTGGCGTCGCGAGGACTGCTTGGATGTCGCCCAACACCATGCACACCGTAACTAACATGACGAAGCCCATAACGCCGTTGGCGATCATGGTTGCGATCATGGCGCGCGGTAGGGATTTGGATGCGTTGCGTAGCTCCTCGGACATGTGCGTGGCTGAGTCTGGGCCCAGGAGACTGAAGATGGGCGTCAGGATACCGATGAGGCAGGACAAACCTGTGTTGCCCCAGCCTCCGCCATCAGTGAAGGTGAAGAAGACGGCCGATGGGTCTTCGGCGCGGGGGCCGAGAACCCACAAGGGAATGAGGATGATCAAGAAACCAGCCACGTGCAGCAAGAGAGCCAGTGTTTCGAGTAGAGGCAGCTGCCGGTAGAAGGTCGTGTTGAGCACCTGGCAGAAAGTTTCGACGGCGATGACGATAAGGGTTAGATGCCATCGCTCGGGAACGTATGATTCGTGGTTGAGCAGGACGACGCCCTGGATCTGCTGGGCTACGAGGAACCCGATTGCCACGTTGCCGACCTGCCACCCCAAAACGCTGAGCCAGCCGACGAGATAGCTCAGGAACCTCTGGGAAGAGGCTGGTGCGAACTCACTGACCCAGTGATACTGGCCGCCAGTTGTTGGTGCCCTTGGTGGGTGTGTTAGTTGAAATCGCCTCATCGGAAGAAAAGCAAGGATAGTTCGAACTCACATGGACGCCATCTCAGCCATGGAAACCACAACACAAGTGAAGCCAAAGAACGTGCCCAGGTACATCCAGATGAGGCCTCCCGTGCCTCCATTCACAAGACCAAAGATAATCACACTGGTGGGGGACAACATGTTAGTCTTTTGTTAAAAGTGGCAGTTCAAAGAGGACTTGGAGACTCCTTACTTCACCTGTGCTTCCCATGTTTGCATCAGCACCATGATGAAGCCAAAAATGGAAAAGAAGTGAAAGTTTCGCCGGAGCTGCTGCTTCTTGCCCATGCGGAACATGTCCTTCTTGTCGAGCCTTGACAGCCCTTCGGTTTTTCCGACGGCATCGTCGATATCAGCCTCTGCGATCTCGAGCGATGTTGCGTCGTGTGTTTCGTGCTTCAACTTGACATCTTCCATTGTGATGCCAAGGAAATGCAATGGCAAATTTCTGCAGATGCTTTGGGTGGGTTGAACAATGGTTTCTTGGGCTGCCGAGATAGGTATTCAAGATAACTGGGTAGGGTAGTTTGTCGTTTGGGGAAGCGATAGCGAGGAGGGACAGGAAAGAATCTGAAACAGCGAGCATGCTAGCAGGTGGCTTATATTGCAAGCAAGTCCAAGCCGCTGTGTCTGCAATGGTGAGTAACATTGAGAGATACGCGGGCTGCATGAGTTAGCGGGATGTACATGTAGTATAAGATACGTACATGGGGACTATCGGCAGGTGGCGCTGTGAAAAGAACCAGTCAAAGCGGTTCTTGGCATCGCTTTTGACTCAAGAAAAGGTCTCATTCAATCAAGAGCAACGTCGAGTGATAAGGCTAAAGCAGACGATTGCCACCCTCAAAGCTGTTGTGTAACATGCTCAGTCATACAAGAAACCACACAAACCCAGGGACGGTAAACTGGCTTCCCAGGGCGGCAGCTGTCGCACTTGGGCGGCGGATATGATTCGGCATCAACTAGCCGGCTAATGCATCCGCGGGACTTCTCACTGGCTCGGCTCGGACTAGTCATATTTGTGATTCGGACTCGTGGGCCAGCCGGGGTTCATCGTATGTCGACACCTCATGCAAAAAGTATCTCATTATCAGGGGTTCTGGAACTTGCAAAACTCGTATCACACATAATTATCATCCATATCTTCAAGATTCGTGGTGTCCCTGCAAGCTTCGAGTTATTAGGCTTTGATTTCCTCGTCTCCTCTGTCTTTCGTAACAAACGCCCTCTCCACCATATGTCGGTCTCCCCCGCCAACGATTGGTCTCTTCGCAGTCGGTGGGTGGGTGTGATCATGAAAGAAAAATCTCTCCTTCGCGTCGTCGAGTCCAGCACGACTGAGAGTGAAGCATGTCAGCTAACTTCAGAAAAGTCTTGTAGCACCACACCAGCAGGGAGGCTCACCTTGATCCAAACCACCATAGCCGCACCAGCCGTCCACAACGCGCCAAAACCAAAGAAGCTGATAACAAGGACGAACAAAAGAATGATGAATGCAACAAAAAGACCCGTGTAGAGTCCCTCGGGGGCCCGGAATTGGACACCCCCCGTGAAAAGACCTTTCAGGATTTCGGCAAGACTTGGATAGGGATTCTGATTTGGAGTCCCGGCGTCTGGGTCCTCCTTCATTTGAGTCCCGGAGCCGGGGTGGTCCTTCATTTGAGTCCAAGAGCCTGGATGGTCCTCCTCCATTGCCTGCTTCTTGGGAGGAGCCGCCGGTTGCCTAAAGGGCGGCTTGAACTTGTTTGTGGGAACATGGGGGGCAATGCACTTGAACTGGTAAGCAGCATCTTCCGCCGCGTTCCATAGGGTGAAGCAGTTGTGCGTGTCTGCTAAATCCCTAATATTGGCCAGACTCCTGGAGGTGAATGGAAACCCCGAGTGAGTTGACCGTTCGCGGCAATCGAGGTAGGCTTTTGGGTAGGCGAAAAAATGGAGGGTGGTGCCGGCGGGGCAGTCTGATTCTGGAGCGTAGAAGGTCTTCAATTTGTGTCCCTTGGGGAGGATGGTGCACGTGTCGAGCTTGACCAGTTTGTACACGTCCGATACCGATACCAGATCTTCTGGGCTGACGGTGCATGTATTGTCGGACACAAGCGCGCTGCCGGCCTCGAAAGGCGGTGGAGGTCGTTGTTGTGGGATGTACCGATTGCTCGGGCTGGCGATGACAACATTCTGGGGGAACAGGAGCCAGACCAGGCTCAGCCAACGGAGAGCCCACATGGTCGTCACGATGGCGAGATGGTTCAAGTTGCACGTGGACGATGCTTGATGGGCTTTTAGATGATGATTCGAAGGTCGAACGCAGAGGTCGTCTTGTCGATGCAAAAGGGTGAATTGAGCGGGAGGCAGGGAACTTGGACGGGCTTATGTTCATTCCAGGCTAGGCAGCCATGGGTGGGGGCCGAGGGCACAGCTGCCAACGACCCAAGTTGAGGATCACAATGTAACCTGAGGGGCCAATGAGACTCGTTACCAGCGAGAAGTTGCCGTCGTCAGCAAGATGACTGAGACTTTCTCCTTAAGTGTAGCCTCATTATAGGAGAGGCGGCTCGTGAATGCTAACTGAAGAGAGAAACGCTTCAATTTATGTCCTGGACTCGGATCTGTAACCTCACTAAGAATGTTAAAGATGAAGTTCCAAAACAGTACATCTAGAGTCAATGCAACAACATTGAATGAGAAAACATGTTGGGCCTCTTTGAGTATGAGAAAGTAATTGTCCAGTGAAGCAATTTTGTGTCCTCCTGCTCGTAGGATCCGCGCGGCTAAGAATGACCCCTATCCACAACAAGCATCAACAATTCAATGAACAACTCCACCCGCGTCACGCCCAAGTCCACAATATCCATTCCCGGCCCAAACAAAGCATCAAGGAAATAACTCATACAGCCCGGTTAGCTCAGCTGGTTAGAGCGTCGTACTAATATCGTCATCTCGGCAATGTTCAGTCAATGCGAAGGTCAACAGTTCAATCCTGTTACTGGGCATCAGCTTTTGTCTTTTAGACATTACTTCTCTTTTTACTTTCTCTCTTCCTTATGGTAGTGGGCCCTTCTCTCCACATCTGATAGATTCTTAAAAAAAAATTCTGGCGGAGGGTTCCCGGTCAAACTCCACCGCCACAACCTGTAATCCCACAAGAGATCCGTTCCGCAGCCATTTTTGCATCAAACAACAACAAGTAAAAGCCCGATTAGCTCAGCTGGTTAGAGCGTCGTACTAATATCGTCTGGAAAGGCCATATCTGGTGATGCGAAGGTCAACAGTTCAATCCTGTTATTGGGCAACTCTTTTTCTTGTTTTTGCTGTAAACCGTTGAGCCATTCCACTGCTAAGTATGTTGTATTACAGAGGTCCCAATACCTGCTCATCGTTGAAATACAGTACCTTTGATTGAGTCAGTAGAAGGGCGCTGAGAGCATTCAATGCAGGAGGCCATTTTTGCACCTGCGTATATTTTCTGTTCTTGAGCTTTGTCTTGGCTGCTATGCACCTGGTTCCAGTACTTTTATTCAAGTGGTATTGTGGCAAGGGACAGTTTACAAGCTCCTAGCAAATCTCTATGCTCGTAAACCATGCTGATTATCACCGGAAAGTAAGGAGACACAATGGTACTGCTACTAGTACGCTACTATAGTTTGGCAAAACCGGGTTGTACTTCTTGTGCATCGATGTCACTATTAAAATCTGTTCGCCATAATGTCAGGCTTCCTGCAAAAACATGGCGACTCCAGATACAGACATGTTGTAGATCATGAAGGGGCCCGCCTAAAGTAGGCTTGGCTGTCTCGTACGGATATAGCGGCATCTATTGAACTAAGAACTGATATTGTGAGCACGAATAGGTGTGCCAGACAGCTGCGGTACGGCAAATGGACTCAGTTCTACGCAACGTGGACAGCTGCCGAATGCATATGGGCCTAAAGATAAAAGGATCATGCAGCGTCGTGGGAGAGATTGATGATGACTGCAGATAGAACATGTTCATACCTGCTCGGAAGTTGTAATCAGAACTCCCTCAGTAGGGGTCTTCCATTCAAGCAAAGCCTCATGGGTTGACTCCATCGCTGCGGTGCGCCTTGGGCTGAAAATATTACGCGCGCGGCTGGTTGACCTACCTGGCCTGGAGGATTCCAACTCGGCCCCCGGCTATTATCTTAGTTTGCAGATATATAGTGTCAGGCTTTTATTCTTTTTAGCTTTCCATTCCCAACAACGAGGCGCAATGTCTTTGGCGGGGCTGTCCTAATTAATATCCGGGAGAATCTGCCACATCTTTGTCTCCACCGCACAGCTTCTCATCGCCAGAGGATCGCGGGTGCGTCATATGAAAATAATGCACCTCGCCGCGAACTACCAACAAACACAGTGAACCTTGAGATTGAACTGATACTTTCTTGCTATGAGATCTGAACCAACAGCATGCAGTGGCCGATCCCGCCTCAATCTAGAGTGGTAGCCTGCATAATTGCGCCTCGAATACGAACTTCCTCGAGGTTTCGTGGACTAAGTCAGAGTGCAAACTGATCGGAATGCAATCCGCAGCATGTTCGAGAAGAAGGCGTGCGTTGAAATGTGGTATGAACAGCCCCCACTGGCGTGAGAGGCGGAAGGGATCTCGTGGAATCATGAGAAGTACAAAAGGGATGACAAGCCCTGCCTTGAATCTGGAATGCTCACTCTCATCATCGGAAGTTCACCAAGAACAACATCAAGTTTTCTTCTGTCTCATCTCCTTCAGGCTATCAAGCAATATTTACAAAACTAGTCAAACTCCACTAACACTACCGCCATCATGCTCTTCAAGACCACCACTCTCGCCCTCCTCCTCAGCACTGTCGTTGCTATCCCCACATCTCTGAGCTTGACCGAGCCCGGCGACGACAGCCTGGTAGTCATCGACACCCTTCAGCTCGCCGAAGGCACGCTCACCATCTTCGGAGCCAACCCTGGGCACAACGCCACAGAGGTCTCGTCAGAAGCCTCTTCCCTCCTGACCCGCCGCTGCGGCGCCAACAACGTGGTGTGCGACAAGAACCATGCACCCGCGCTCAACACGTGCAACGAGCTGGTCAAGCGCATCAAGGGTAGCTCCCTGACGCTCAACAGCTCGCCGCGCTCCGTGTGCCTTTCCCGCAGCGGCGGAAACTGCTGCATCAGCTGGGCCAGCGACATTGGCAACGTCCGCGAGTCGGATCTGTATAATGCCGCCAAGAAGTCGCTCGACCGCTGTGTGGGCGAGAAGAACTCCGGTCGCGCGACCGACGTTGCCATCAACGGCAAGTGCCTGAACCAGTGCCTGTCTGACCGCGCTACAGGCTGCAAGTAGGTGTGGCGAGACAGAAGGGAAGGTGTTGTGGAGAAAGTAAGGAATCAGGGGGTCCGTTGCCATCAAAGAGAACCACATAACACATGTAAATAGGCAGCAGTTGCAGTTTTCATTATTTCGAAGCCCTGAGCTTAGAGGTCCGTCAGTCTTCACATAGCCCAATTCATAAATCACTCTTTTCCATATTTGCTGTCATAAAGCTGTCCTCTGTGAACCGCCTTTACAGTGATAACTTGGAAAGTCTCTCGTTCTGTCTATCAGATTAGATAAAACGGCCGTATAACCCCGTCCTTCATAATCTCTCCATCCATAATTCCGTCGCAGTATGCTTCGCCAAGGAGAAAAAGACTCTTGTCATCCTTTGTCCGCAGCACGTATGGAATGTGTGCACCGAGGAAAACGACGACTTGGTCCCCAGGCTGAATTGTCAGCGGCCCGACTCCAACATATCCTGTCTTCGTGAGGTATGGCCGCTTGTCCTTCATCTCGTGCATTCGGGCCCGGTACTTGGTTCCCATGTCTCTCGACTGCAGGTCTTCTAAGATATTGCCCCTCATGGATATATGCTCTGGATGCAGGAACACAGCTCCCTGCTCGAACCCCTCACATTGGGCAAGTAAGTGCCGATACACCTCAGAGTATGATGTAGTGGCCCGGCAGACGTCATAGAGTTTCGTCTCTTCGAGATCGCCGACTGGGATGCGCCAGTATGCTTCCTCCTGCCGCTGCGGATCGTCATATTTCCGCCTCGTTGCTGATAGGAGACACATCAGCCGTATCTCGGACAAGAAAGCTAAAACAGGGGATGGTCAAAATGTTTGATATAGAGTGCGTTCTGGCGACAGAAAAGGGCTGCCGACCTCGTCGACGGTATCGACCACAACCCCTTCTAGGCCCAAGACCTTTTCGTCATATGTGGGCAAGATCTTAGGAGGGCCGCAGTCATTCCCCGAGGCGGCGAATAGCGAAGTTGGGCAGTTGCCATGTTCGGACGTCCAGCAAAATGACCGTCTCAGGGGAGGCCGACGAGAGCGCCAGTCAGGCACCCATGATGGTAGCCCGTGAGACGTCTTGCAATGCTGCGACAGGCTGAGCAGTTCTAAGTGGCCATTGCAAATGAGGGCGCGTGCCGCCCTGGTGAACACGAGATTATCATCCTTGACGGAGTAATCGGCCTTCAGGCCAAGCTCAGCAAGCTTCTCCGTATCAGTGGCTAGGCCAAGGAGGGAAAACAGGCGGTCGACCTGCTCGCTTGCTTCCATGATTTCACCGCCGATGTGGGTGCTGTCCAACAAGTCGATGAGCCTCTGCCATTCCCATCCCCAGCTTTCCACTTCTGATGCCCTTTCCGGGTGCCGAAAAAGCGCCGGACCGGATTATGAGTCAACTCGCGAAGCGCATCGCGAAGCTCGGAGTTGGGATCGTCCACGATCTGTTGAAACAAGGCAAAGTCAACGATCTGCCGCGCGAATATGAGCAGGTCGACGGGCACCCTCTTGGAGCCGCACACAAACACCGCTTCAGGCGCGAGGCTGAACTCCTGCAGCACCCACACCCTGTAGAACCACGGCCGCCTCTGCCACGCGATCATGGCGCGCAGGATGGGTGACGCCGTGATGGGGAATTCCTCATCGCCAGACACAAAAAGCGAATGCGTGCGGAGATCAGACCCCCAGGTATACGAGAGAGCCTCAAACGGAGGGGGCGAGGCGATGGACACGACTTCGATGTCGCATTGCAGCGTGTCGGCTTGTCCAAGCATGGACAGGAGCCACTTCCATATTGTTGTCGGCTGTTCGGGCGGGTGAAGGACGACGAGTCTGATCTGCGACTTCGGCGAGGACAGCGATGGAAGCCGATATTGAGGCATGTTGCCATCATGGAGCTGGGCCGTTTGCGCCATCCGAGACAATGTTCGGCTTGATATCGAACGCCAATGAAGCTGGCAAGTTTGGATTAACATTAGTAGGTAACCAGTAGATGAACTTTAAGCAGACGACACGGATTTGCGGCTTCAGGAGAGCATCGCCGCGGAGTCATTTATTTGGGGCGAGGGTGTGTGGTCTTGTTACGTAAATGGGCCAACCCTCCAGACTGCAGACTGGGCCATGCAAGCCACCGAACAATACTAGTTCAAATCGAGCCAGCTCGAGAGAATTCCTTAACAGAAACTGCAGACCACGAGATCACAACGTGACAGGAAAAGGGCGGTGAAAGTGCGAGAATTTCTCCCTTAAAATCCCATTTAAGGGCCAAACATTGAGATTGAAGTGTCAAAAGTCAAGGCGTTGGGGAAAGAGAAGGAAGAATTAGCAAAACACTTACTCAATAAGATGGCGAATACGACTCAAAGGTCGTTCGTGATTTTGAAGCCATGGGGGAGTCGACGGAAGCAAGAAATGGGTTTAGACAAACCCTACAGTCAAAGCTTTAACTTGACACCCATCGAAACCTCACAGGCACTGACAACCTGTCAACAAGACCTGGATATGTGCAAATACACTCGACTTGTTTGGCTAAGTGAAGAATCGAGCAGTTAAGGAATAGATGATATTCGCTGTCAGATGCCCGTACTACTCACTCAGGGTATCTCATTTAGACCAAAGCCAAATCCGCCCAACGCCTTACTCCCCAAGCACTACATGGCAGGCGCCCCAA